TCGGTATTATTCTTGGTATTATTTATTAAAGGTCTAGATGTTTGTGGGTTAAGAACTGGGTTAGGCCCGATTGCTTGGGGTGTTTGTAGTATAACTTTGATAATTTGTATCACTACTCCTGGATCTTTGGAAGCCATGTGAATAAATACTGACCACATTTTCCCTACAACCCAACCCGTATTAGTCGGGTTTTGGATTTCTAAATTCAAATGGGTACAAGTACCTTTTTGAGCTATCATTCCATCGTACACAAATTTTGGATGGATACATTTACTTGGTCCCCATCTTACCCGCAAAAATTCATCTTCTTTTTCTGGTTTCCATCTATCACTTGTTACAATGGTCTCACATCCCCAATATCCACAAAACCAATATCCTGGATAGTTACAATAACTTTTTCCTGGGTTTGAACTGGGGCACCAATATGTTCCCCATAATGATTTAGATTTAGGTCCTCCAACCCTGGGGAATAAATCACCAATTGTAATCGTGAAAGTCGGGGCACCTGCTGTTATGCTTTCCTTTATCACTCGATTGCTTGCAGGGTCCCGTAGGAGCCACTTGAATGGCCGGTGGGGATGGTACTCTGATTCTGCCTGTCCTATAGTGACAAGCCCTAAAATCAAAATCACACAAAGGCATCGCAGCCCCCCCCGCAGGGGCTATTTTGTCGTTGTTTGAGTTCTGTCGGTGCGGAACTCCTAGGTGCGGGCAGGATGCTTGTCGACTTGTCGTCCTCTCTTGTCACCGGGGCGTACGGGTTACGGGGGTGTCCGATAATCCGGTCCTGTGGACAAAAACTCACAGTTTTCATTAGTTTTATTCTGGAGGTCCGGTTTAATAGACTTAAGCGGACACCATTTGACTCTGCCATCTTTCCTGACCACAGCATACCCTCGCCCTGTCAGAACTAATTTCCACCCTTGTTCCCATTCTCCCAGCTCATTTCTGACTATGACCGATGGGCCTTCTTCTAGCGCTCGAGTGGCCCAATGTTTTTGGACGGGGCTATTCATCTCTTCCCCCCTGGGGAACTGATTTAGTGCTAAAAGAGCGGTCGCTAGCAGGCGTGCTTGGTCTCCTGGGGGAACGGCGTTGGCAAAGCCTTCCGTTTTTGCTAATACCTCTAATTTAGATTTCAGCGTTTGATTTGCTCATTCGACTATGGCTTGTCCTGTGCTATTATACGGGATGCCGCGTGTTAAGGTGATACCCCATTTCAAAGCAAATGCCTGGACTGATTTAGAG